GTTAAGGTGGGGTCCAGGAGCACTCCCAAACTCTTAACCTCCGAAGCTGGCCCGAGAGTAGCCCCATCGAAGGCTGAGAGTGGGAGCCCCAATCCCATACCACCCGACCCAGGAACACGACCTCCGTCTTTGCCAGATTCAGCTTCAGCCGGCTCAGCCTGAGCCACCCAGCCACGGCCTGTAGGGCCCAGTGAAGATCTTCTGGGTCGGAGTCCGACTGGCCGCCCAACATCAGATAGAGCTGGGTGTCATCGGCATATCGATGATACCCAAGCCCATACCTCCGGACAATCTGGGCGAGGGGACGCATGTATATGTTAAATAGCATCGGGGAGAGTACTGCCCCCTGGGGCACTCTGCATTCAAGCAGGTGCCTCCGGGACTGCTGCCCCCCTAGCCCAACCCTCTGTCCTCGACCTTGGAGAAAAGAGACAAGCCATTGAAGGGCGAGCCCCTGAATCCCCACGTCGGCAAGGCGGTGGGCCAGCAGCTAGTGGTCGACCGTATCAAATGCAGCCGACAGATCTAACAACAACAGCGCCTCCACACTGCCTCGATCCAGATGTCTACGGAGGTCGTCAGTAAGGGCAACCAGCACTTTCCCCGTCCCATGCCCCGGGCGAAAGCCAGACTGGAATGGATCAAGGACGGAAGCGTCATCTAGAAATCCCTGTAACTGCGTCGCCACCACCCTCTCAATCAGTTTGCCCAAATAGGACCACAGTGCTGTGCAGCAGAGCAGTCGTTTCCATTGTCAAAGTTTTGGTTATCCACGGAGAAGCCAAAGTGTCATTTGTGTTGTGCTGTTGTGTAATTAAGAGAGTCTGGAGCCAATTAGGTAGCCTGTTCAGCTGAGAAACCAGTTATTCAGTATTAAGCCTTGAACGCTATCCAGGCAATATTGGAAACTTCTGGTCCACATACCGCAGAGGTGGCGCTGCCTCCATCTTTCTCAGAGGACCAGAGAGCACCTCCCATTCAAGTAAGGTATTCATTCTCCAAGAAGCCTTACCACCTCGTCCTGAAGTCCTGCCTATGGCAACTTCTGACATGAGCAACTAAGCCCCTCCTATCAGTGCGGTGTGGCTATATTGATTTAGCCAATCTCCAGAAGGGTCTCTAAGTGAGATTGGTTTGTGCATCCAGAATCCAGCTTCCAGCCTTCCAGACTCTGTCTAATACCTTTGGGAGTTGGCTTGTGTATCTTGGAAATGGCCTGGAAACTTAAGCCCAAATCGCACGTGGATTTGTTAATAGGATGGTAAACCTGAACCTGTTCTCCGCGGGAGCCGCTTTCAGTGGGAGTGGCCAGTGACAGAGGAATGGCAAAACGGGTGATGATTCCACTTCTCTGGGGCCTGTTTCCAGCATTCCTTGTTTTCCCCCAGTGCAGGACTTTTTTTTTATGGAGGACAGGGTCTGTCAGTGGTTACTAGCCATGGTGACTAAAGGGTAGTCAGGGCCAGGAGGCAACATCAGGGGAAGGCCTCGGCCTCTGTGCCCTGTTGTTGACTCTCCAGAGGAACTGGTTGGTCACTGTACGAGGCAGGATGCTGGACTGGATGGACTATTGGTCTGATCAAGTAGGGCTCTTATATTCTCATGAAGGCCTCGGCCTTTCTGCCCTGTTGTTGGCCCTCCAGAGGAACTGATTGGTCACTGTGTGTGACTGGGTGCTGGACTAGATGGACCACTGGTCTGATCCAGAAGGGCTCTTCTTATGTTCTTGTCAGGGAAAGGCCTCGGCCTCTGTGCCCTGTTGTTGACTCTCCAGAGGAACTGGTTGGTCACTGTACGAGGCAGGATGCTGGACTGGATGGACCCTCCCTGGTCTGATCCAGCAGGGCTCTTCTTAGGTTCTTGCCAGAAAGGTTTTGGCCTCTGTGCCCCCGTTGTTTGTCCTCTAGAGGACTTGGTTGGCTGCTGTGTGAGACAGGATGCTGGACTGGATGGACCTCTGGTCTGATCCAGCAGGGCTCTTCTTAGATCCGTATGATACACCATTTTTATTGCGCTGCTGAGCCACTCTTGATGCTCTTAAGTATCGGCTCTCGCTCTTTGATTGTGTTTGGATTTTAAGCCTACCTGATGTTGGGTATCACTTTCTGTGGAAATCTAGTTCTTCTCAGTCCCCAGGTGGGCTTAAATCTAACTTCTTACCACAAGCACAAACTTTAAAATGTTTTAACAGTGGTTCTAAAAAATGCTCAGGATGTGTTTTGGGCGAATCTCCGGCAGAAAAGAGCGCTGTCTCCTTATAACTGCCTTGCAGCCACGAACCAAATAAAGAAGCGCCCTTGTTCTCGAAACTCGTACAGTGAATTAGTGTGGAATGTTCGATTGTCTAGTTGGGTTGTGTTTTAAGTGTGCCTCTTGTATGTAGGTAAATGAGTCATGCCTCTTCCTTTCTTCTTGCCAGAGAGTGGCAAGTCTGTGTCTGGGCGGCTAGTCCGGAGACAGTTTATTCATGCTCCCATGATTTGTTAGAGAAAATAAATTTAAAAAATGGGGAGTGGGGAGGGCAGAACACAGGTAAACGAGTGCTGACTCAAACAAAGCTATGGTGTGAAAAGTAACTGCCTTAAAAAAAATTCAAAATTGATTGCATGAAATCTTGGAGGATAGGTCTACAAAGGCTGGGGATGCCAGCCTCCAGGTGGGACCTGGGGATCCCCTGCAATCACAGCTATGCAGAGGTCAGTTCCCCTGGAGAAAATGGACGCTCTCAGGGGTCATTTCGTAGAAAAAGAGGTGCAGGAGCTCATTAGCATACCTTATTTGCATATGCCACACCCCCTGGCATCACCGGAAGTGTGTCAGAAGGCAACACCCACCGCTCAGGTGTCACTGGACTCTTTTGGATTGCTAGCTATGAATGTGCAGCTCTGTCCTTGCAGAGGAGGGAGAGCTTGTACTTGAATAAATCTTGGTCTTAAAGGTGCCACTGGACTGTTTTGGGCTCTGTAACTTACCGGGCTGCTTCTTGCTCTGACTGAGGGTTGCTGGGAGCATGGGGCGGGGCTTGTTGCATGCTTGTTGCATGCGCTTGCTCCCTGGGCTCTTTACTGCCGGAGCTCCGTTCCTGTGTGCTCCTGCAGGAAATGACCCCTGGACGCTCTGGAGGGTGGACTCTGTAGCATAGTATCCCACTGAGGTCCCTGTCCTCCCCTGGCTCCATCCCCAAATCTTCAGAAGTTTCCCAGTCTGGATCTAGCCCCCCCCCGTCCCGTCCCCCCCACCGGTGGGCAAGGAGGACCTGGCAACGTTAACAGGGGCAGTTGTCTAGAACTCTGACGCCCACTTTCTGTGTCCAGGTATTTCTGTGCTTCGTGGGTGCCAGGACCAAACAGGTGACTGTCGCGAGGTTCCCAGGGGCACCCAGCCAGTCCCCAGATTAGCCAGCATCCCACACCAGCGAGAAAAGCTCTTCTAGTTCACAGGCAGCTCGAACAATCCCCCCCCCCAAAAAAATTTAGTTTCTCAGGAAAACTAGACCAGCCTGGCCTTTCTCAGGAGTCCCGTTCCCATTTAGTGATCGCAGCGGAGATTCTCGGTTAAGTGGAAATCTATTTTAGAACTTGGGGGGGAGGGTGACTTAGAGGGGGAGGCCTGGCTGATTCCCATCCGTGGAATCCAAGACCAAGAGGCCCGGCAAAATGGATGCGGTGCCCTTCACTCTCAAAACGGGGTTGAGCTGGTCTCTTGGGGTTAGAAGCCAGCCGGAGCGGGCACAGCTGGCCGCTCTGTGGAAAGATTGCTTCGTTATAAACAGTGCCAGAGTCTTTCAAGTTGGCAGCCCTCTGGTTTTTTTTAAGGATGATTTGCTAATCTTCAGGTTTTCAGTTAAAATTGCTGGGTAAACACCGCAAAGCAGGGGAGGGGGAGAGGCCGTAGGATGAGGGAAAGATTACTAGGACAGTTCCCGCCCAGTGTTCCCCCTAAGCTGAGTGAGTGTGAGCTAGCTCACAGTTTTTTAGCCTCCAGCTCACAGATTTCTGTGTTAGCTCAGGAAGGAGGGCTCCAGAGCAAACTAATTGATGCAGCAGCCAAATTTCTCGCTCACAACTTTAATGCCAGGAGCTCACAAAGTAGAATTTTTGCTCACAGGACTCCACAGCTGAGAGGGAGCACTGTCCCCCCCCCCTCCATTTGCTGTATTCTCCACTGTTTGGGGGTGGGATATTAACAGCAGCTTTCTGCTGGGGAGAGGCCGGATTGTGTGTGTGTGTGTGTGTTGTCTTCTCTTGCGGTCTTCCATCCTGCAGTGGCTTTTCCTGGCCCCCTCTTGGGAAGCCACCGAACCTTATGTTTTAATAGAACGTGGCTTTGTTGGAGCCCGCCAACCAAAACAGACGGCTTTTGCCATAGACTTTTAGGCCTTACAAAAACAATCCGTTGTGGGCTGAGTCGAGATATTCCCGCATTTGCAAGCATCAGCAGAAACGCCAAGCTTCTGAATCCTGGGACAAGCTGGACCTGGGTGCATTTTTGGGCTCAGTTTGCGGGGAGGGGGGGGAGGTCAGCACAGATGACCCCGGCTGCTGACTTGGTGGTACAGCGGGGTCGGTAGTGGCTTAAGAAACGACAGCAGAACATTTAAGAAGCTCGCATCTCAAGCCAGCCAGAAGAATTCTCCTGCCGGGGCTCTTGGATTTCAGCATAGGAACTGAGCGGGTTGTCGGTAATCGGCCCCCAAATCAGCCTTCAGCTGAACTTTGCCAAGGGCGTGACCAGAAAAGCTTTACAAACAGGAGCCGGGCAATTAGATGACTAAAGGATTCCTTCTGCCGAGCACTTTCCCCCTCTCGTAAACTGAGAGACTTCGGTTTTCCTCTGCCTCATCTTCTTGTGCTGCCAGTCGGGTGTGTGGGGCACGCACAAGGGGGGGGGGTTCACCTTTTCACATTCTTCATGACTTTGCTTCTTGCCAGATGGGCTTGGCCCTGTGGCTGTTTGCATGCTCCCTTGTCCTGGGGTGCATGGCAGATAAGTAACCCTTTCCCTCCAGGTCCCCCCGAGTACAGCCCCTCTGTGTCTGTGACGCACGGGTGGGGGGCAGGGGGGTCAGCAGCCACTAACCCCACTGAGCAGAAATGGGTACGGACACGCGGTGGAGCGGAGGCTTTTTGTTAACAGGTCTCTCTGGCTGCATTCATTAATATTTGTTTTTCTTTTTTCTTTTTCCCCTTCTGGTAAATTTCTTTAACCTTCCTTCAAACTCTGCTCGACACTAGCCATGGCGGGTAAGCACTCTGTGTGTGTGTGGACGGCCGGGCTGTGCGTTGGCGGCTTTCGCTCTCCACGAATGTCTTTTGCATGTGCTCGTGTCGCCGCAGCGAATATTCAGGCCCGATCGTGCAGAATTCCCACTCGCTCGAGGCGGCCTCATAAGCGAGTGGGTGTTCTCGTGGGGGGGGAGGGCACGGTCACCAGTGTTCCCTCTAAGCTGAGTTAGTGTGAGCTAGCTCACCATTTTTAAGCCTCTGGCTCACACATTTTTGTCTTTGCTCAGGAAGGGTGGCTCCAAAGCAAACTAATCTATGCAGTAGCCAAATCGCTCACTCACAGCTTTAATGCCAGCAGCTCACAAAGTAGAATTTTTGCTCACAAGACTCCATAGCTTAGAGGGAACATTGACGGTCACCATGGCTGTGTTATTCTGTGATGGTCCTAGCTAGGGTGGGGATGTTTAAAGCAGCTGTGGGCATTACCACAGAGCCACTTTAAGGGGTCTTTAGACCCAAAGCCGTTCTTACACTTTCAGAGGTATGCTACAGAGACCCCACCTCACTGGGCTGTTGTGAGGATAAAACAGCAGTGAGCGGAACAACATTAAGCCGCTTTGAGTCTCCCTTGGGAAGAAAAGTCGGGGTATAAGTGAAGTAAATAAGTGTGTGGACTCTAATCTGGGAGAACCAGGTTTGATTCCCCACTCCTCCACTCACAGCTGCTGGATGACCTTGGGCAAGGCTTAGTTCCGATAAGAGCTGTCCTTGAAAAAAAGAGCAGTTTCTGTCAAGAGCTCTCTCAGCCCCACCTCCCTCACAGGGTGTCTGTTGTGGGGAGGGGAAGGGAAAGGAGTTTTTAAGCCTCTCTGAGACACCTTTGGGTTGTGAAGGGCGGGGTATAAATCCAACCTCCTCCTCCTCAATGTCGTTTGTGCTGTTTCTGCAGCCCGGATCCAAATATACCAGGACCACCTTTGTCTTCAGGCACTTAGGCAGAGAGAGGTTCTCCCCCCCCCCCCCTGCAGGTGCCAGAACTGAACCAGGAACCTTTTCACACAAAGCGTGGCTTCTGTGAACGGCACCATGGACCCCAAGGAGACACTGCTTCTTAGGCGCAGGGGGGCATTCTTCCCTCCTACAGCAACTGTTGATCAGGAGAGCCATTTTTTTGTGTCAGGGCTGCTGCAGGAGAAGGCTGCTGTCTGGCAGGGAGGAGGCAGGAGGGCCAAGCAAGGATCGGGGCTGTAAAGCCGGGAGGGAAGGGAGCGTGAGTAGAGGAAACCCTCCTGCATTCTCTCGCCCTCCCCTCTTTCCGTTATCACCATCACCACAACTCAGCCGTGCTTCTACCAAGTCTGGATTGATCCGTTGCTAACAAAATGCTACGGCGTATTCTTTTTTTAGTTTGAATTAGGGGCAAATGCATCCAGGTGCCTTTTGATTTGCAGAGGAAGCCTCCTAAAATAAGCTGCAGTCCTTTATTTTTGAAGAAACGCTCGCTGTTGTGCTCGCTCGAAAACCCCCTAGTGTGATTCCAAAGTGGTAAAGAACACCCGTGGGTTTTTCTGTGTGTGCACGCATACGTACTTCTTTGATCTCTGTAGAAAAGAGTAAGCGTCCAGTAGCACCGTAAAGACGAACCAGATTTGTGGCAGGGGAGGAGCTGAAGGTATCTTATGAAAGCTCATTCCCTGCAACCAATTTGGCGAGTCTTTAAGGTGCTACTGGACCTCACTCGTTTTTTCCCCTACTGCTATTTATTTATTTATTATTTGTATTTATAGCCCGCCCATCCCGTAAACGGGCTCAGGGCGGGTAGCATCACAAAAGCAGTCCAATAAATACAATTAAAACTAAACAAGTTAGGGATCCAAACAACAATAAATATTAAAACTCAGTCACACTCCTGACAGTCACTGGTTGTGCGGCTCTCTTTAGCATATTATTTGGGTCAGTAGACGGATTGGTGAGAACCCCTACTTTCAGACTGATACAGCTACCCATCTTGATCTGTCTTTCGGATACCTTATCACTTACCGGTTGTGTATGGTGTTGTGGGGAGAGGGGACTAGGTTTTCCGCAACTGGTGTTGTCCTCACAAAAAGAGGGCATGCTCTGAGCAGTGGAGAAAGGGGCACTGAGTGATAATTGGACTATTCACTGGCATCTTTGCTTAACAATTCAAATATTATTGTCACAACTCTACAAGGGTTCATAGGTGAAAAGATGGTAACATTATAGAAAAGAAATGAAGCATAGTGAAAGCGAGACTGCGATCTTTAAACACCTTCCCCTGGAGTGTTTCTCGTTGAATTTAGGTGGTTTGGAGACCAGTCTCCATGTTCAAGGCCCTACGAGACGTTCTGTGCCAGAGCACGGAATTTGAACCTGGGGTGAGTCAGTCGTCTCCTTATTCGGTTGGCTGCCCCATCTGAACGCATACCACATCTGTCTTCAGAGCTGTAGAGGAGAGTTTCTGGTAGTTAAAACTTTTTAAAACAAAAAAAAGGTAGGCGAGCGCCATCTGCTGGAGGAATAAACCACCTCCTTCCTTTCAGATTCAGCCTCAAGAGATCAGCCCTCCCCCAACGGCCAACTTGGATCGGTCCAATGACAAGGTGTACGAGAACGTCACTGGCCTGGTGAAGGCGGTCATCGAGATGTCCAGCAAGATCCAGCCAGCTCCACCAGAGGAGTACGTCCCCATGGTGAAGGTAAGAAGACACCATTTGAGAGACAGGGAGGTATAGCGGTTAGAGTGTCCAACTGGGGTCTGAGAGACCCAAGTTCGAATCCTCACTCTACCACGGAAGCTTGCTGGGTGTCCTTGGGCCAGTCACATGCTCTCAGACTAACCTACCTTACAGGGTTGTTGTGAGGATAGGATGGAGGAGATGAGAACGATGTAAGAAGTGTTTGGTCCCCATTGGGGAGAAACTCATAGTATAAGGTAAAATAAATTCCCCACAACCTGACCTTAGAAAGCATATCCAGTAAAGTAGAGAGCCAGTTTGGTGTAGTGGTTAAGTGCACGGACTCTAATCTGGGAGAACCGGGTTTGATTCCCCACTCCTCCACTTGCAGCTGCTGGATGACCTTGGGCAAACCATAGTTCTGTCAGAGCTGTCCTTGAAAGAGCTCTCTCAGCCCCACCTACCTCACAGGGTGTCTGTTGTGGGGAGGGGAAGGGAAAGGAGTTTGTAAGCCGCTCTGAGACTCCGAATGAAGGGCAGGGTATAAATCCAATCTTCTCTTCTCTTCAGATATATCCCAGGCCGCCAGTTAATGTATCTGAGATGTAGCCTAACCCTAATTAGACCTGCGTTCTTAAACCTGAGACCATTTCTCCAACTGATGCAAAGACAGTTATCTGTTTGAAGGCCATTGAACCAGGACTGGTCTTTATGCCCAACAGAAGGTGGGGGCGGGGGATCCCCCTATTTTGTGGACTCCGAGCGGCCCCCAAACAACCGTACCCGCATGTCGTCGATACCCTGACATCACTTCCGGAATGGATGTCAGCGCCGTCGGGGGTGACACTCTACTTTTCGGGCGAAATGCTATGGTTTGTTGCTTTTTTTAACCATAGAGTTTTGCCCCCAAAGTAAAGCATCGCCCCAATGTTACCAGTGTGATGATGTCACTCCTGGAAGTGATGTCAGCGTGTCGCCAACGTCCCCGCCCACCCCCGGAACTCCCCAGTCAGAGGACCCCTGGCAACCCTAAACAGAAGGGAAATTTGGTAGTCAGTTCCAAAGGTGGGGAAATGAAGCCGGAGGATCGCCTTATGGGATGCTCCCGTCTGTCCTGGGCTCCTGTGCGCGTTAAACTTGTAAAAGCCTGAGAAGCGAAAGCCTGAACTCGCCCTAGCAGTGAAAATGACCATAAGCTGGGGCTCTCGTACTTTGGTCCCGTTCTGAGCAGACAAGAGTCACTGGGAAAGACAGCAGTGCTAGGAGAAACCGAAGGCAGCGGGAAAAGAGGAAGACCCACCCTGACATGGATGGACTCGGTCAAGGAAGCCACAAGGGCTCTCCATTTGCAACACCTGAGCAAGGCTGCGAACAATAGGATGTTTGGGAGGACGTGAATTCCTAGGGTCACCACCATTAAGTCAGAAGCCCTGTAACACACACACTAAAGAAACTAACACAGCAAGGAGTAGGCTGAACATGAACTTCTCTCTCAGGTGTGCTACATTTACTAGTAGGAAGGGGGAGTGTGCTTATTGTTTTAATGGATTGGGTCCTGTCGGTCCAGTCAACTAAGTGCAGAACCCTTGTCTAATACAGGGGGGGGGAGCCTTTCTCTCGCTCGAGGAAGAGCCCGGCGTGTATTGCCTCTGTCTGATGCTAATCAGTCTGTCTCCGGTTCTTGTCTTTGACCAGGAGGTTGGTTTAGCGCTAAGAACTCTGCTGGCAACTGTAGATGAGACCATCCCAGTACTCCCAACTAGTACTCACAGGGAGGTAAGTGAAGGTCTCCTATCACAGCAGTACGGATCCTTGGCACAGAACAGACGAAGCGGCCTGACACAGAATCGGGCCTCCGGTCTGTCAGAGCCAGTATTGTCTGTTCAGACGGGCAGTGGCATTCGAGGGTCTCCGGCGGAGAGAGGTCTCTCAGATCACTTCCCCCCTGATCCTTTTAACGGGAGACGCCGGAGGTTGAGCCCGGGACGCTCTGGGCACCAAGCAGATGCTCTGCCGTTGAGCCATGGCCCCCCTTCCCTGTTAGTGTCGGATGTTTAATTCTTAACTGGCCGAGCCCTCCCTCGATACAGCGTACACATTCTTGCCCCACCCCTGAAATAACACACCACATGCATACCTTATGTCTTGGCAATACGTTGCAGTGGTTTGAATCAGTACTCTGCCCTGAACACTTTCTTTGGAAGAGTAGAAAATCCTCTTTTACTGGGTTGAACTCTGTGAACAGGTAAAAAATGCAGCTGGGCAACAGATCCTTATTGCCACTGCACCCTTCACCTCAGTTATACAAGTCAGAAGCAGGAGCCAAGTGACCAGAGTTGGATTGGACTGGTGTCAGACGCTTCTCCTCTGCAATGGTTTGCATCAGAAGCTCTCTCCAAGGCAGAGAACGGAGTGCCTCCACTCAAGTGCCGGCATGCTCCTACTCCAGGCGGGAGCAGGGGGAGAGGAGCCTGTGTTAATTTCAAAATTGTAAAAAGCCCAGCAGCACCTTTAAGGCTAACCAACTGTATTGTAGCATAAGCTTTCGAGAAACACAGCTCTCTTCGTCAGATGCCTCTGATGAAGAGAGCTGTGTTTATCGAAAGCTTACGCTACAATAAAGTTTTAGCCTTACAGGTGCTGCTGGGCTTTTTACTATTTTGCAGCGACAGACCAACACGGCTAACTCCTCTGTATTAATTCAGACGCATGAAAGGGCGATACGATTTACGTCTGCAAGGGCTGAATCAAAGTCTCCCAGAAGCGAGAATGAAATATTATACAGGATATCCTTATTTGGTAAAAGTTCCTTGGAGATCTGCATCATGCCCAGGGCTATTTTGGGGCAGGAACGCGCAGGAACGGAGTTCCGGCTGGTTCCCGAGTTGGCCACGCCCAGCAGGAGCTCATTAGCATAATAGGCCACACCCAACATCAGAAACTCATTAGGACTGGCTACATTAGGGGTGTGTGGCCTAACATGCAAAGGAGTTCCTGCTACAAAAAAAGCTTTGGGTTTTGACAACAAACAAGGTAAACAGAATAAGAAGCAAAAGGTGAGTGTGGCTGGATGACCACACTTCTGGTAACATGGGGGTGTGGCCTAATGTGCTAATGAGCTGCTCTGTCAGGGGTGTGGCCTAATATGCTAATACATTTCTGCTGTTGGGTGTGGCCTATTTATGCTAATGAGTTCCTGCTGTGCTTTTTATACAAAAAAAAGCCCCGATCATGCCTATCAGCTGTAAAGGGCGGGGGGGAGTCTTGGGCAATGCTCCCTCTAAGCTGTGGAGTCCTGTGAGCAAAAATTCTACTTTGTGAGCCACTGGCATTAAAGTTGTGAGCGAGCGATTTGGCTGCTGCATAAATTGGTTTGCTCTGGAGCCGTCCTTCCTGAGCTAAGGACAAAATGTGTGAGCTGGAGGTTAAAAAACTGAGTTAGCTCACACTAACTCAGCTTAGAGGGAACACTGATCTTCCATATAGAAAAACTATATCGAAGCAGCCAGTTTTGTGAACTGCAGCCCTCATCATCAGAGCTCCTCCTTCTTGTGTTCTTATAAACAGTGTTAAAAGGGGATTAGGTAGATTCATGGAGAATAAGTCTCAACGGCTACTAGCCATGATGGCTGAGGGGAACCTCCACATTCAGAGGCACTGATCCCCTGAATCCCAGAGCCAGGAGGCAACTTCAGGGGATGGCCTCGGCCTCTATGCCCGGTTATTGGCCCTCCAGAGGAACTGGTTGGCCACTGTGTGGGACAGGATGCTGGACTGGATGGACTATTGGTCTGATCCAGCAGGGCTCTTCTGATGTTCTTCCTTGGCTCTCCACACTGTCTCTCTGCTTTAGCCTTCAGACAGTGCAGAATGGCCCAGACCTTACCTTGAAACCCCCTTGAGAGGTTTGCCATCAGTCAACTGCCTGTGATGTGACGGCCCTTGTCACCCACCACCACCAGTGGAGTCTTGCCTCTCGTTCATTGCTCAGTCTCTTCGGTGGTGGATGGTGAACAAGATCCAGCTCCCGGGCTCTTCTTGGGTTGTTTTTTGTTTTGTTTTCAAAACTTTTATTTCATTAAAGAAAATTATAACATTGCAGATAAACGTATTAAGAGATAAAATACATTGAGATTTCATTCCATTTCAACTCAGTATCTATATATTGCATATAACTAACTTTATACTCAAACTAATTTACTATTTAAAACTAAGACTTATGTGATAAGAACTCAGACTCTCGGGCTCTTCTTGTCGAGTGAGCTTTTCACTCGAGGGTGTGTGTGTGTATGTGTTTCGTGCATGAGCTGTACTTGGCTATGTTTTGCATTAACCTTGAACCTCTCCCCCCCGCCCCCGCCAGATTGAGATGGCTCAGAAGCTCTTGAACTCAGACCTGGCTGAACTCATCAACAAGATGAAGCTGGCTCAGCAGTACGTCATGACCAGCCTGCAGCAGGAGTACAAAAAGCAGATGCTCACAGCGGCTCACGCTCTGGCCGTGGATGCCAAAAACTTGCTGGATGTTATCGACCAGGCCAGGCTAAAATCCATCGGCCAGTCCAGGCCCCACTAGAGGCGGAGGCGTCTGCGTCGCGTGCTTGAGAAAGAGGCGCCCTCGCCAGGAGAGCCACCATCCGGCAGAAACGAGGGGTGGTCTCTGCGTGGTCCTGGGTTCCGAGCAATTCCCATCCTGCTTAACTGAACGGCACACCTGTCGGCTCTCTTCTCTTTTCCTCATACTTTTAAAGCAAGGGTTTGTTTTAAAATAATCCACAATGCCAAGGAAGGTCTGAGATCCAGAAAAAATTAAAAAAGCAGTTTTCACGGAACTCTGTACGGACGCCTGAACGGTGGAAACCAATTTGAAATGTTTTTGCATCACATGGAATGTGAATCACTTAAATTTCTTTGTAAAAGAAAAAGAGAAAAAGCCTCAGATCTAGAACGACCCAAGCGGCAGAGCTGAGCTAGATATTGTGAAGAATTCTGGGAAACCTCAGGGCTGAGAATTCTTGCCTGCAATATATGCGGACTGTCCATACTGGAATACTTTTTTTATTAGAACACTTAATGCCACAAAAAAATGCTAATCACAATTTACAGAGAAAGAAGATTAAAAAAAAAAGCTATATTTTCAAAGCGTCAGTCATCAACTAAAGTCCTCTTCATCTGTTTCCCTCCCCGCCCATTTCATGTGGATGTGTGAACCATTGGGTCAGAACCGTAGCCATAGAAACAGAGAACTTGGTCTCTCTTCAACCAGAATAACGTGCCAGTTTTTGTAGCATTGTTATTTTTCCTTGGAAGCAAAAAACAAACAAACAGAAAAGCTGCTTTGTACCAGAGCAACTCAAGAGCTGCATTTAGAAGGAAAAGAAAGTTCTGTAACCATACATGTTCCCCATTTTTATATAATTTATAAAGATTAAAGCCATGATGGATATTTTAAACCTACTGGAGTTGTTAAATCAGCCCTTGGCAAGCTGGGTGGAGGGAGGATAACCAGAAAATTGCAGTTCCTTGTTTTCTTCCAGTTGCTTGCATGCTGTGTACACAACTTTTTTGGGGTGGGGCGGGGAATGAGAGACCCCCAGCATGTTGACTCATCTAGGGGTTCCACCACACGTGCCGAACAGCAACCTGTTTTGTTCAGCAAACGGGACATTCTCCACTGAAAGGATCGAGGCAGGACTCTCAGGCATCACCAGCGCTAGATCAAGACGAGTAGCCGTGTTAAATCTGTCTGTAGCAGTAGAAAAGAGCAAGAGTCCAGGAGCACCTAACAAAATCTGTGGCAGGGGATGAGCTTTGTGAGTCACTGTCTGAAGAAGTGAGCGGTGACTCACAAAAGCTCCTACCCCGCCACAAATTTTGCTAGTCTTTAATAAGGTGCTCCTGGACTCTTGGCTCTTTTCTGCTATTACCAATAGTGGTGTGCCTGGTCCCTCTAAGCTGTGGAGTCTTGTGAGCAAAAATTCTACTTTGTGAGCTACTGGCATTAAAGTTGCGAGCGAGCCATTTGGCTACTGCATGAATTAGGCTGTGTGATCACACACACTCAATAATCCACTTTCAGTCCTCTTTCAATGTATTTTCCAATTGGATTTTTACTGTGTGAACTGGAAAAATCCAGTTTGAAAGTGGATTATTGAGTGTGTGTGATCGCAGCCTTAGTTTGCTCTGGAGCCATCCTTCCTGAGCTAAGACAGAAACCTGTGAGCTGGAGGCTAAAAAAACTGTGACATAGCTCACACCAACTCAGTTTAGAGGGAACACTGGTCCGGTCAAGTTCCCACCTCATCTGTCTCCCACCCCTGGTGTCTTCTGGCACACCACCATCTTCAGTTTGGTGTAGTGGTTAAATGTGCGGACTGTAATCTGGGAGAACCGGGTTTGATTCCCCACTCCTCCACTCGCAGCTGCTGGATGACCTTGGGCAAGCCATAGTTCTGATAAGTGCTGTCCTTGAAAAAGAAGTTTCTGTCAGAACTCTCTCAGCCCCACCTACCTCACAGGGTGTCTGTTGTGGGGAGGGGAAGGGAAAGGAGTTTATAAGCCACTCTGAGACTCCTTTGGATAGTGAAGGGCGGAATATAAATCCAGTCTCTTCTTCATCATGTATCGATTGTGAGGGGCTGTGCCTATTTGGGGCCAAAAAAGGCTTCATCGATCCCTTGCATTTGAGATCTCAGGTCTCGTTTGCAAGGTTTCCCAGAAGCCCTTCTTGCTTCTGACACAGGAGTCGTGTGGAGTGTACGGCAGAGAAAGCTTGAAGGGTGCTCAGTGACATTTGTGAACCACTGCTTAAGTAAACAAGAGGGCTGGGAGAAATTCTGGAAACTCCCAGGCCTGAATTTTAATTAAACTTAATTTAAAATGCAGGATGGTGAACCTGGAGACACATAGAATCGAGTCAGCTGTGTGACTTAACAGCAACTTGCCAGTGTGAATTGGTGGCCCCACATTAGCCATTCTTCATGGCAAAGTGTTGATACATCTTGGAGGCTAACTTGTATACCTTTCTCATAGGCAAGCACTTGTTATTTATCACGAGGTTTTCAGAACCACCAACAGCTTCTTGATATAAATGTCTCTGTGCTTCTAAACTGAACAGCCAGCCTTAAGTTCATTTCTTCCTTGGAAGGAAGGGGAAGAGGAGAAATATCTGTAAGGAAGATGTAAGCAGCACCCTAGATGGAGCACGAATGACGTTGCAGTAGGCTAGGCAGGAATTCTTTGTTGCACCTTAAAAGACCAGCGAGTAATCGCTTTGATATACCCAGTAAGTTGTTCAACAGAAACGTGAAGTGTCCTTAATCGACCGGTCTGTTTCAGTAAGCACAGAGAGAATTTTAGAGTGAGGTCACAACACGAGAGGACGATTGAGATTCAACACAAAACACACAAAACACAAGTTTTCTTATGGGTGCTTCGGCTGTTGCCGGAAGACTCAGGAAAAAATGCATGAAATAACCGTGACTGTTCCCAGCGGCAGCTTTAATGCTAGTCTCCATTATTAGTCTGTTGTGAACAGTCAATGTCATTTATCTTGTACTAGACCAGAGATGTCAGACTTGTTACGAGGGCCGGATCTGACATAAATGTCAGTTTGCTGGGCCGGGCCATGAGTGCAGGAGATAAAAACTGAATCAAGGACAGCAGCTGGTAAACTCCCAAGTTGGTGTATCCTCACTGCAAGGCCCCGTGGGCTGGGGGGCAGGGTGCAAATGAAAACCCGTATGGACGTACTGGAGAGCCAGTGGTGCAGCACTGGGGAGACGCTCCCACGCTGCTGAGGTTCCCGCCATGCTGAAGCCACAATCGGAATGGCTCCACCCACTCCCCCCCCCCAACATTCTCCTGTTCCCTCCCTTGCACTAGCTGCTGATGGGCCTATTCAGGCCCCATTTGACACCCCTGTGCTGCGCTATTCCTCTTGCATTTCCTCTGCACATACACACACACCCCTCCGGTTTTGCCATACATCTCCAGCACTTGTGCTTCTTATGAAACTCTGCTACTTCCCTGAAGTGTAAACCTCTGTGCCCCCTCTCCTTAACAGAAAGAGCTCAGCAGCTGTTACGATTTTAATTACAGATTCACTGTTTACTCCTGCGTTGGAGACTGGCACCCAGGCGGAGTCACTGTGATGCACAGAGTCCCTGTGCAGAGGATATGAATAACATGCTAGCCTGCAGAGCCGCACAACCACAGCTGTCAAGGATAAATGGCACAGGGAAGCAGCAGCACGTTCAAGCCTTGTACACAAACAAAGCATTCACACAGAAGTAAAATTAGACCATTCATCTGACCAGTTCAGTATTAAGTGGGGCTGGCTAGTGGACTCTTAAAACCCTATTGGGCTGCTTCAATGGGGGGGGGGGACAGTGAAAAGTAATTTTGTTCCCAATAGGTTGGCTCCTAAGCAGGGTGTCTCTTCTTAATCAACTGACATACCATTTCTTAAAGTTAAGCTTTTAAAAGTAACTTTTGTTGACACGGCCACTACTGTACTGACTCTGCAGTTCACGTCAAAAGGATGGCAAAACCAGAGACCGGTACCCTTAACTTCAATGGCACCATTCATTCGGACCAGACAGTCCAGTAGCATCTCAAAGACTAACAAAATTTGTGGCAGGATAGGAACTTTCATGAGTCACGACTCACTTAATAGCCTGTGCAGGAAATATGAAGCAAAGGGGTCCCCGCCAGACTTGTTGAACTGTAGTTTAGTAGTGCTGCAAGAGTCCAGCATCTTATTCATATCCTAGTAAAGTTAAAGGTTTCCCTTGCTCGAAAGCCAGACAAATCCAATAGGGATGCAGTGCTCAACTCCGTTTCCAAGCCGAAGAGCCAGCGCTGCCTGAAGAAGTTTCCGTGGTCATGTGGCCGGCGTTACTAAACACCGAGGGGCACGGAACACTGTGTTACCTTCCCACCAAAGCGGTACCTATTTATCTACTTGCAGTTTCTTGCTTTTGAACTGCTAGGTTGGCAGGAGCTGGGACCAGAGATGGGAGCTCACTCCGTCATGCGGCACTTGGGTCTCGAACTGCTGAACTACCTACCTTCTGGCCTGCAGTTCAGCAGAGGGTAAATGCCACTGCAGAGCAGACTGACTATAATGGGAGTCCCCAAGCTGAACCCATTTTTAGAATACTTAAACTGAGGTCCAGGCAACATGCTAGGCGGATCACGTTGGTGCAAGACCATGCCAATTTCACCTTTAAGGGGAGTGGCAAAAAGGTCAGTAACCACACTGAATTTACACAAAGGCTTTGGGGATGAAGGGCAAAATCATTCATTACAGTGAGCTTAGATCACAGCCAGCCAGGGAACTTCCACAGAGGCACTAATCCCCTGAATCAAAGCGCCAGGAAGCAACATCAGGGGAAGTCCTCGGCCTCTATGCCCGTTGTTGGCTCTTCAGAGGAACCGGTTGGTCACTGTGTGAGAGAGGATGCTGGACTAGATGGATCACTGGTCTGATCCAGCAGGGCTATTCTGATGTTCTTAACTGTCACTTGCTGCCTTGTAGTACTGAAAGGAATCGTCTATTACTTCACTTAAATATTTGTATCTTTATTGTAAAAGAATACAAAAAATCAGCTTAGTCGAAGAGACCGAAGCCCATGTCATCATCAGATTCTTCCGACTCCTCCTTCTTCTCTTCCTCTTTCTTCTCTTCAGCTAGGAAAGAAAATAGGGCAGATTAAAACACCCAAACCTTCAACTGCAGCTCGCTTAAGTGCAGCCAACAGAGGGTCAGGTTTTCTTCCCACAGACTCTTTCACATCGTGGAACGATTGTTCCTGGGACTGCAGGACCCGTGTGGATCGCAGGAGGCAATAGTGGCCAGGGGGTGAGATTCCACTTCCCTTCCTAAGCAAAGCTCTGCTGTTAAACGGGTCAGGGAATAAAGGCAATTCACACACCATCACAGAGATACTGCTGGGGATTGCAATACACAAGTCTCACCGTAACATGAAAAAGACAAAAGCCCATCAGAACGAAGGGGGCTGTTTGGTTGCAGCTGTGTTGGTCTGCAGTAGAACAGCTGGTCCAGCAGCACTTTGGAGACCAACAAGATTTGGGGGGGGGCATAAGCTTTCAAGAAAACAGAGAGTGAGTGTAGGTGGGCAATTTTCTCAGTGGAGGGTGGTAAGCAGTGGGGTACCGCAGGGATCAGTACTTGGTCCACTGCTTTTTAACTTGTTCATTAATGATTTGGAGATGGGAGTAAGCAGTGAAGTGGCTAAATTTGCGGATGATACAAAGTTGTTCAAGGTGGTGAAAACCAGTGAGGATTGTGAGGCACTCCAAAGGGATCTGTCAAAGATGGGCAAGTGGGCGTCAACATGGCAAATGGGGTTCAATGTGGCCAAGTGCAAGGTGATGCACATTGGAGCCAAAAATCCTAAATATAAATACACATTGATGGGGTCTGAACTGGCAGAGACAGATCAAGAGAGAGATCTTGGAGTTGTAGTAGATAACTCACTGAAAATGTCGAGACAGTGTGTGACTGCAATAAAGAAGGCCAATGCTATGCTGGGGATTATTAGGAAGGGTATTGAAAACAGATCAGCCAATATAATAATGCCCCTATATAAATCAATGGTGAGACCTCATTTGGAATACTGTGTGCAGTTCTGGGCACCACACCTTAAAAAGGATATTATAGCTTTGGAAAAAGTGCAGAAAAGGGCAACTCGAATGATAAAAGGGTTGGAACACTTTCCCTATGAGGAAAGGTTAAAGCGCTTAGGGCTCTTTAGCTTGGAGAAAAGACGACTGAGGGGTGACATGATCGAGGTTTATAAGATTATGCATGGGAAAGAGCAGGTAAAGAAAGAGGTACTTTTCTCCCTTTCTCACAATACAAGAACTCGTGGGCACTCCATGAAACTGCAGAGCGGTCGGGTTAGAACGGATAAAAGGAAGTACTTCTTCACCCAAAGAGTGATTAACACTTGGAATTCACTGCCACAGGAAGTGGTGGGTGCTACAAGCATGGATGGCTTCAAAAGGGAATTAGATAAGCATATGGAGCAGAGGTCCATCAGTGGCTATTAGCCACAAGGTATAGCTAGGGGCTCTGGGGCAAGTGATGCTCTGTCTTCTTGGTGCTTGGGGGGGTCAACAGTGGGAGGGCTTCTAATGTCCTGGCCCCACTGCTGGACCTCCTGATGGCACTGGTATTTCTGGCCACTGTGTGACACAGAGTGTTGGACTGGATGGGCCTTTGGCCTGATCCAACATTGGCGTCTCTTATGTTCTTATGTTCTTAAGAGTCAAAGCTTCCTTCATCAGATACTAAAGAGATTCTTGAAAGCTTGTACCTCAAAAAAACTTTCTTGGTTTCTGAGGGGCCACTGGACTTGAATCTGCTACATCTGGTACCGACTCAGTTTTAGCTTGTTCTCTCTCAGCCACCTGACCAACCTCCATACATCGACTCAGCACAGAGACCACTGCCTCCAGTACCTTCTCGTCAGATTACTGTAATTGGGTTCCCAGAGACACCCAGCCCCAAGTATTAGAGGCAGTTTATTTTATATGATTTCATTTCGAGGTCTCACATGTAAGTCAAAAAAACATGAGTGGAACCCACCACATAGGTAACAAGATTCTTGGGGCATAAACTTTTGAGAGTCTATCTGATGAAGGGAGCACTGACTCACGAAAGTCTATACCCACCCAAAATCTTCTTGGCATCTAAGGGCTAGGTAAAAGTTTCCCTTGCTCGAAAGCCAGTTGAATCCGACTCTAGGGGGCGGTGCTCATCTCCGTTTCCAAGCCGAAGAGCCAGCACTGTCCGAAGACCTGCGGCCAGCATGACTAAACGCCGAGGCGCACGGAACGCTGTCACCTTCCCACTGAAGCGGTGCCTAATTATCTACTTGCAATTTCTTGCTTTCGAACCACTAGGTTGGCAACAGCTGGGGCCAGAGACCTACCCCACTCAACTGTCCCAGAGTGCACACTTACCAGGAGCGGCACCCCCCGCGGGGGGCCCTCCTCCGGCCGGGGCCGCAGCAGCTGGAGCACCACCGCCCACTCCGACGTTGCAGATGAGGCTTCCAATGTCGATGTTGGCCAAAGCCTGGTCAAGGTGCAAAACAACACAGGAAGATTAATGCCGGTGCATGTTTGCTGCAACATTTCATTTCTGCACTGACAGGTTGCCCCTCTAGCAATGATGAAAGAATACACTATGACCGCCCAACAGAAAAGGTCCCCCTACTTTATCACTGCCCTACAAGTATGCGGGGGGGGAGACAACTGTGTAAAATTTAGCCCACTAGTAAAACCTCAAAAAACTAAACAGAATGACTAATGTCCCAAAGCAGAAAAAAATGTCTAGAATATCAATAGATTCAACAAGTGGGTGGCCGTGCGGGTCTGAAATAACAGAACAAAGTTTGAGTCCGGTGGCACTTTTAAGACCAGCAAAGTTTAATTTTGGGTATAAGTGTCCAAGCGCCTGCACACTTCTTCGAATACCTATCTGAAGATATGTGTGTGTGTGTGTGTGTGTGTGTGCGCGCACAAAAGTGGGCAATACCACCCCCTGAGGGGCGCTGGATCAATCCAGGTGGGTGGTAGGAGCCTTGGGTGCAAATTTGTCACTGCATCTTTTTGTCCACTTTTTGAAAGTAGATTTCCAGAGTGGCGTTGAGTTCAAAAAAAAAAAATTCTTAAAAGGGGGCAGTAGGCCAAATAAGTTTGGGAACTTCTGGTCTAGGTGCCACTGGACTAAAAAAATCCAAAAACAATATCAATATCAGTAAACTTCAGACAGGGGAAATGTGCCAATTTCTCCCCCCCTCCCCCTTGAGACCCAACCTTGAAATCAGTGGCATTGACCAGCCAGCTGACACTTTCCTCATGGGTCTTACCTTTGCAAACAGACCTGGCCAGAACGGTTCAACGTTCACTCCTGCTGCTTTGATAAGTGCATTGATCTTATCCTCCTAAACAAGAACACAAGAATATTTAACAAAAGCAATGGCTAGATACTACTGCTCCCTCACAACAGAAACGGATGGCACACATATCCAGTTTGGTGTAGTGGTTAAGTGCGCGGACTCTAATCTGGGAGAACCGGGCTTGATTCCCCACTCCTCCACTTGCAGCTGCTGGGATGACCAAGCTCTGGCAAAGGTGTTCCTGAAAGAGCAGTTTGTGTCAGAGTTCTCTCAGCCCCACCCACAGGGTGTCTGTTGTGGAGAGGGGAAGGGAAAGGAGTTTGTAAACCACTCTGAGACTCCAAGTGAAGGGCAGGGTATAAATCTAATCTCATATCATCATCATATCCAAGGGTTACTCCAATGGCTGAATCTAAAAGAGGTCAAATATCCTAACCAGTCCTCTGATTACTTGATTTTTAAATGAAGTTTTCCCCCCCCACTGTCCTAATAATAATTTTTAGAAAGGACCCTGTTTTTTTGGGGGGGGGGAAGAGAACTTCTCTAATAGTCAGCTCGCACAGTAACCCTCAGACAAAATAAGCCCTTTTTAATCAGGCTTTAATTTAGAGATCAGAAAAGTTGCTTTCAAGTTGAAACTCTTTGCCAGAGCTAAAGAATATCACAAAGTTGGAAATTACAAGAACTATGGTTCAGCCCTCATTCATACGTCAGCATTACATAGTCAGCAGGTGCAGTAATACAAGACAATTACAATGGTGAGAATGTTTATCATTCTAGAGTTTCTCGAAGGCCATGAGAAGGTTGAAAAGCGAAAGCTTCCCATCGGTCCATGGAATTTTACATTGATAAGTGTTCCATAGTGCAGCTAATCTACAATCACTCAACCTCCCCCCTGCAAAGAATGGCAGAGGAGGCCCTTGTGAACAGATTGATAACATGCCAGCAGGTGTTATATGTAACAGGGAGACAATAGGCAAGAGAACAGAAATAAGCAGAGGGGTAACAAGCAAGCTATGTACATCAGTAACCCATGATTGCAATTAGAGATCCAGTGCCTCAACTCCAAAGGCAAGGGTCCGAGTCGGACACTAATGTGTTTAGAAACCCACAAGGCTGTGTGATTTTACAACTGTTTTCCTCATGTGTACTACTGTGATATGAAACCTCTTTGTGCACGCCTTACAAATGAATACTTCCCACTGAATGCCTCCCCCACAAAACACTTGCTCTTGGTACTACTTGGGTGGGAGGGTGCTATAGAAATGCAGCTTGAAAAGGGGATGAGATAGATTCATGGAGGATCAGTGTATCAGTGGCAAGCAACTAGCATGGTGACTGAAGGGAACCTCCACATTCAGAGGCACTAATCCTCTGAATCCCAGAGCCAGGAGGCAACATCAGGGGAAGACCTCAGCCACTATGCCTTGTGGTTGGCTGTCCAGAGGAACTGGTTGGCTACTGTGTGAGACAGGATGCTGGACTAGATGGACCACTGGTCTGATCCAGCGGGGCTCTTCTGATGTTCTTATGAGGGGAAGTCCTCGGCCTTTCTGCCCTCTCGAGGAACTGGTTGGCCACTGTGTGAGAAAGGATGCTGGACTAGATGGGCTGTTGGTCTGATCCAGCAGGGCTCTTCAGATGTTCTTATAAAATGAAAGTCCTTCAATGTGGGGGTTGCTTACTTAAGAAGCCCTCTTCTCTGCAACAAGACTTTTCAGGGAGAAATCTTGGGAGGTTAAATCCCCACACCAACAATGGACAGGGGGGAAAAAAACAATTGGCAACACTGAGCAAAAGCATATGTGCAGATTCTCTATGGCACAAACAACTTGTGGCAGTTTTAAAAAGGCTTGCAGTTTCACTGAGTGACAAAGGAAATGGGCTTAACTGCTGGATTAGCAGCACAAAATGCAGTTTTCCTATCAGAGTCAGCAGCCTTGAGTGCTGTTCCCCAAGAAGGCCCCCTTCAGGGATGCCAGAAGGTACATCTATCTGTTCACTCTTGTATGTCCCAACCTCCTATTTCAGTGCTAATACACATGGAGTCTTCCAGGTGCTATAATACTCCTTTGTTTCCTGCTAACGTGCCCATTGGTGCAAAAGCTTTCCAGAATTGAAGCTTTCAGCATAGGTTAAACCAGTGAGAAAAGCTGCACAAAAGCAAGAACTATCCAGCCTGCTTTTGAAACAGCATTTACTGGGGGGGGGGGGACTCCTTTATTCAGCAGAAGCAGCACGTTCCAGGGACCTCCTTACTGTGGGTCCCACGCGCATGGTCATTCTGCTTTCTCACACAGACTTTCTGTGGAGAGCCAGTGTGGGTTACTGGTTAAGAGTATCAAACTCGGATTGAAACCCCCACTCTGCCATGCAAGCCTGCTAGGGGATCATAGGCCAGACACTCACACTCTCAGCCTGACATGTTACAAGGCTGTTGTGATATAAGTCTATTCAGGTTCCGATGAGAGACAAAGCTGCTGCCAGTAGTGTCACTAAGGGCACCCCCTTGATTTCTCCGAGGTGTGCATAAAATATGGCCTGTGCTGATGCTATCCAATTCTTTTAAAAACCCTGCTCAGGACTTCCTTTCTGCTACTGATTCTGAAATAGATGAGAGAGAGAGGAGACAAGCGTGGATTTATACCCCACCCAGAGCAGCTTACAGGCCCCTTTCCCTCCCCCTCCCCACGACAGACACCCTTTGAGGTAGGTGGGGCTGAGAGAGCTCTTTCGAGGACTGCTCTTGCGAGAACAGCTCTGGCAGATCGATGGCTTGCCCGAGGTCATCCAGCAGCTGATGAGAGACAGAAAGAGACTCAAAGTCCCAGAAGGAGCTGCAAAGTCAACCCAACTCTGCCTATTCCCAGTGGAAAAGTCTAATAATAATCATCACAGTGACGGTTGCCATCATCCAGGTGGGGCCTGGAGGTCTCCCAGAATTTCAGCCAATCTCCTGATGAGAGATCAGTTTTCCTGGAGAAAAGTAAGGCCTTGGAAAGTAGTGTCTTGGATATTCTACCCATCTGAAGCCCCTCCCCGGGCGTTTCCAACCTAGAGTTGGCACCCCTAGCCTCACGGGCTTGCATTTAGGATTTCACCATCGGGTGGACAAGCCGTGATTCAGACAGCAGCTCGCCTCTCCCACGAAGCAGTTCCGAGCCCCGAAACAAACGACCCTTCCTCGCCCACTTCATCAGCAGCGTGCAAAGGGTGACGCTCCTGCGCAGCTACTTGGCAAGGACTATGAGGAACCACGTACCCTTAATGCATTCTGCCTTGAGATTTTGGAGGTGGAGCCGGGGGGAGGCGATGTTTTGGAGAGGAGAGAGACCTCAGTGGGGTATAAGTACCTTCCAAAGCTACCATCCTCTCCAGAACTGAACTCTTTTACCCGAAACTCAGTTGGTTCCGGGAGATCTCCAGCCAGCACCTGGAGTCTGGCAACCCCGACCCACCAGGGGCAGCGGCTGCCTCCTTCACGTGCGCGCCCCAACCAGAGCGGCACGAGGCCCCCACGACTAGCGCATGCGCTCTGCTTTCCCCCGGTCCCCGCGCATGCGCTCTGCCCTACGCGGCCTCCCCGCTTCCTCACCGTGACGGTGACCTCGTCATCGTGGAGAATCAGCGCGGAGTAAATGCACGCGAGCTCGGAAACGGAGGCCATGGCGGGCGAGAGGTGCGCGGTGCTGGTCGCCGGCTGGGACTCGGCCTTAGCTTCAGCTGAAGGACACAGCACCTTACGCGCCGCTGAAGGGGACGACGGAAAAGAAGGGCCGAGAAAGATTGACAGATCGTGGCGGAAAGAGCCGAAGCGCGAAGGTGTCTCCCCTCTACGTGACTGACAGTCACAGCCAGTGTTCCCTCTAAGCGGAGTTAGTGTGAGCCAGCTCACAGTTCTTTAGCCTCCGGATCACACATTTTTTGTCTCCGCTCAGGAAGGGACGGCTCCAGAGCAAACTGATTTATGCAGTCGCCAAATTGCTCCCTCACAACTTTAATGCCAGTAGCCCACAAAGTAGAATATTTGCTCACAAGACTCCACAGCTTAGAGGGAGCCTTGGTCACAACAATAAAGTCTGAGGGCCCCAGTGGCACCTTTCAGACCAACAAAGTTTAATTCTTCTGGGCATAAGCTTTCGTGTGTAGGCACTAAAGGGTTTGTTAAAGACATTAATAAAACTTTGTTGGTCTGAAAGGTGCCACTGGCCTCAGACTTCCTTCCAAAGGGATAGTGAGGCCAAAGTTCCCTTTTCTCAAAGGTGCTGACAAAAACTTAGCACTTATGAGAGGGTAGGAATTAAAAGCAGGAAGCTGAGGAGATGAATACCTGGGTAGTTTTCACAGCAGAGAGAAGTAAACGGGGGAGCTCCCCATACAAGGAAAACTGCCGGTTCTTTTAAGTCCACCTTTAAGACCAACCAAGTTTAATTCAAGGTATGTCTTAGTGTGCAAGCACACTTCTTCAGATTCTTCTTCTTGCACACAAAAGCTTATACCTTGAATTAAACTTTGTTGGTCTTAAAGGTGCCACTGGACTAAAACTTTGTTCTGATGCTTCAGACCAATACAGCTGCCCGTCTGAATCTATAGTCTGCTCAGAAGTCGTAAGAATAAAACACTATATTAAATACAATAAAGTGGGGGGGATTGAGCTCTCTTCGGATGGAAAATTAAGGCAGACCAGAATAATGTGTGCATGCTCCGTTGGGTAAGGGTAGGAATTAAAAGCAGGATGGAAAATTAAGGCAGACCAGAATAATAGCCTGCTTGTCGTTGCGATGATACCCACAAATATACACCTTTAAGACCAACAGGCCAGGTCAGAGGAGCTTTTCTGGGAGTCTCCAGAAATTTCCTTCCTGAAGTCTCGAGTATTTAATTCCTCGAAATCTCTGTTCCCTGCTTGAAGGAGGGGGGTGGAGTTGGCCGTCCCATTGTCTAGACCTATTACCATTTCTTAAGAGGTGAGCCTGAAAAGCCATGGACTGACTTCCTCCCCTCTTGTCTTGCTCTCTGCCCAGAAAAGGGGGGGGGGCTTTTAAAACTCAGAGTGAAGGTTTTACTCAGTTCAAACATCCAAAGGAAATAATGCATTTCTTCACACACCCCAGAAGCGGATGGTCAGTTAGTGCAGATCTTTCAGCACAGGGGTGGTATGAGCCCTGTGCAGGCTTGCCAGCTCCGGGGTGGGAAATTACTGGCGTTTTGGGGGGTGAAGCCTTTGGAAGGCAGGGTTTGGAGAAGGTTGGAACGTCACCAGGTTATAATGCCGTAGAGTTCAACCTCCTAATTAACAATTTCTCCATGGTTACTGATATCTGATATCTGTCACCTGTAGATTTCGTATTAGAGTCTTTGAGGTGTTTTGTAGGGAGAATAGGCTTGGATCTGTAGCAATGTAGGATTTCTGGAAGAAGAAGCAGAAGATATTAGATTTATACCCTGCCCTTCACTACTCAAAGGTGTCTCAGAGCGGCTTACAAACTCCTTCCCCTCCCCACAACAGATACCCTGTGAGGTTGGTGGGGCTGAGAGAGCTCTGATAGAAACGGCTCTTGAGAGAAGAGGAGATTGGAGTTATACCCCGCCCTTCACTACTCAAAGGTGTCTCAGAGCGGCTTACAAACTCCTTCCCCTCCCCACAACAGATACCCTGTGAGGTTGGTGGGGCTGAGAGAGCTCTGATAGAAACGGCTCTTGAGAGAAGAGGAGATTGGAGTTATACCCCGCCCTTCACTACTCAAAGGTGTCTCAGAGCGGCTTACAAACTCCTTCCCCTCCCCACAACAGATACCCTGTGAGGTTGGTGGGGCTGAGAGAGCTCGGACAGAAACTGCTCTTTTTTCAAGAACAGCTGTGCCAGAACTACGGCTTTCCCAAGGTCATCCAGCCAGGTGCAAGTGGAGGAGTGGGGAACCACTACACCAGACTGGCTCTACCTGAAGAGTGTGGCTTTCTCAGCCCCCCCTTCCTGCTGTAGCCCCCAATCCCTCTGAAATGCTGCTACCCTCAAGTAATGACTTTTTGATCAACAACAGAATGCCCTGGAAGATCAGGCGTCTGATCGCGGGAGCGCTAGTATCCCGTGGCATCCGGCGCCTGTCCACGTCCCATCGCAAACCGGATGTTTTTCGTAAGTGCATGCCCCAAACACGAAACTGAAAGCAGTGCTGCTCTGCGGAAATGCGCATGCACACAAACACGAAACGCTTGTGTGATCACGCCGCTTCTTTGCCACGCTGCAGCATCACCATGTGATCGCCAGCTAACAGCCGAAGCACGAAGACTCGGGGGACCGTGTGATCAGGCAGCCACGCCTTCCCACCGCGTTATCTGGCCCGTATGACCAGGGCCTATAATCTTTTTTAATACAAGGTTTGTATCCATTTATCATATTTTGTCATCTTCTGGGCATGGAACGGCAGTCACTGGGGTGAGGGAGGTATTTGTGAATTTCCTGTATTGTGCAGGGTGTTGCACTAGATGGCCCAAGGTCCCTTCCAACTCTATGATTCTATGATTATTTTGCATCTAGACCATGTTGCTTGTAGCTTTGGATATAAGCACATCTTTCATATGAATGTACACTTTGTGAATTCACAGTGAGCTCTGGCTCATTAAAGTTATATGCTGGGTTACATTTTGTTAGTCTTTAAAATGTCTTTTTGCCACCTAATGCTATTCGGTGTATAAAGTGCTGTCAAATCACAGCTGATTTATGGGGACCCCAACCAGGGCCTTTGAAGGTGTGAGAAGCAGCGGTGGTTTGCCATTGCCTTCCTCTGCAAGTCTTGATGGTCTCCCATCCAAGTACCAACCCTGCTTAGCTTTCCAGATGTGACGAGCTCGAGCTATACCATGCCCACCTTCTCTCCCCATGATCCACTACATATCTATAATGGTAAAAGGATGTGTCCATCTGTCTGTCTTTCTGTGCCAAGCATAACTCATCATCAAAGCTGGCCACCACTTTCAGGATAACCATGGGAGTTCTAGTGCTAAACATAAAGGGAATCGGAACATCTTGGCCCGTGTAATCCCCAGAACCCCCCCTGCACGTGTATGTAAAGTGCCGTCAAGTCACAGCGAATTTATGGCAATCCCAGCAAGAGGCTTTCAATGCAAGTGAGAAGCAGAGGTGCTTTGCCATTCCACTCTTCTGCAGAGCCTTCCTTGGTGGTCTCCTTGTTTAGCTGCCGAGATCTAAGGAGATTGGGCTATATTATGTCACCTTCCCTCTTAGGCAAATAAGGACTTCCTTTTCTTTGTCCTCAGTCTAATGCTGTGCTACTTTAGCTAGCATATAATTCCTGCCTCAAAAAGTCATCCAGTAGTTGTATTTGTATTGTATGGTAAGAA